GATCATTAACACTTTTATTTACCAAAAAATTAACTAGAATTTAACAAGAAAAGTACCAAGATGCAGCTGTACAACTTAACTTGGCCATTTAAAATTTACTTGTGGCTTTTTATCTTTTTTATAACATTGCATGAAAGAAACTCGCACGAATTGAGAACGGCTAGAATACCAAAATAACGAATAAATATGCTTAAATATCCACTGGAAAAAATCACTAAATTTTCCCGTAATGCGGTTCTGAAATCGTTAAACACTTAATCAAAAAGAGATTACCAACAGTTTTAGATGACATAAAACAACATTACTTGTGAATTTCACGGTTTTTAAGATTAAAATAATCTTATTCCAAGGTTCTAGAAACTTCAAGAAAGTTCGGTATAGACGTATAAATAAGATTTCCTGCCACGTCTACAGTACAAGCTAAAGTTAGAAATGACTCGTTCTTGGTAGTTTTACTTGAGATTATACGATACCATAAGAACAATAACTGACTATCAGTACTCCACTAATGAGTTATACACCCAAACACGATCACTCGTTTTGGAACTTTTACTGCCTGACTTCTCCATCCTTCGCACAGGTAATTGCACAGGGCAGAGTGAAACAAGACACCTAAAGGCTATTCCGTGGGATGCTTTGGCTACTGAGCGTAGCACTGAAAGGAATTGCACCGTTACAGTAAACTACGAACCATGATTAGTCAGTTAGATCAGCCGGAGAAATCACTATGGAAAACACTGAAATCAGGGCTGTTTCTGCAACCTTTGATTACTTGTTTAAATTACGAAAGGGCCAAATTTTTTAAAGGTTATCAAGAATGTAAAAAACTCAGGTAGTTTCGCAGGAAGCCATTTCATTGTTAAGTTAGCCTTCATGATCTGTCCAACCTGCGAATCAGCTGCATGAAATGCTACTGTTGTTCAACAACGCTAAAGCGATGAAACTAGCCCTGCTAATTAACATTCGAAACTCAGAATACTCTCAAAGACAGCCAGATACAAAAAAAATCTTATTACTGTCGCTAAGCGACAAGAGAAGCAATCAGTTTCAAAGACTTTTGCCCGGGGCAATTACCAATGACCCAGCCAGGTCTTCGAACCACGCCGAGAGAGCCAAACTTCAAAACGCTTACCACTTGGCCACCGTGTCTCCGACAATATTTCTATTTACAATGATAAAAAACAATGGTAATACCACAATTTAACAATAAAGACTATGATTTCTAAGTAATTCTGCTTTCCTTCCAGAAGAGAATTTCGCCTAAAGTTCTACAATACGAAAAAAAGTCCCGAGAAAATTTAAAAGTAACTGTAAGGTATGTACATCATACTATAAAGTTTACTAAAATGAATATCATAGTGCCGTAGCTTGTGGTGTTTTTAGAGTAAAAAGATAAATAAAAACTGAAGGTAAAATTTACTTTATGGATCTAAAAGGGGTAATTTCCTCGAGAAATCGTCCGTTTTTCAGCCAACAAGATCTGCCGACCGGATTTTTCACCGTTCATGTTGTTAATCTTTCATTGCTGAAGTTTCATCCTGAAAAAAAAAGAATTAAGTAGATTAAATGACGCCACAAAAAAGGAAATGATAGCTCACGGTTATACTAATTGGTTGATCAATCAATCAACTTTAGCTTGCTTTGGACGGACATCCCTCTCCTTGTAAGAACACGTGATGGAAGGTGTAAAAGCCAATCAACTATTACCTTTCAACTTTCAAATCATGACTTCCTTTTTTTTTCAAAGAAGTTTTCAATTACTTTCTATTAAATGTATCAACAGCCACTGAAAATAGACAAAGCTCTGATGTCATTACGGAGCCATTTTAATAGCAACCAAAAGACTTTGCAGAGTACAATCCTGATGGTCGAGAAATAGTACTAAAATAATCGTGTTGCAAATGAAAGATAATCGGTAATTTGCCCGTATTATATGAAAACATTTTGTGTGATCAATTGAAAGATATCGCTAATCACGCGAGCTAAGACCTGGCTTGGGTAGCAGTCACCTATAAAAGGCAGGAGGGGGGACGTCAGGTAAATATTTTGAAAATTGCAAAATCCCCCCGAATCGACCCCCTCCCCTCCCCGCAACATGGCAAAAAATGACTGGGCTCTCAGTTAGGAAAAGATTCTGGGGCGTTACGAGAACGCATACCCCGAAACACGTAAAATTGTACAAATAAGGAGTCTGCTAAGGGGTCGGCATTATCGGTTTTTCGGGTCTGGGCTCCGAGTTTTCGAGTTGAATAATAGGTCCCAAACTAACCTTTTCACTTTACTTTCACTGTTTTCCACCTTTGGAAGATGTACTTGGAAGATTCTGCCGTAGGAATTCGTATCGAATACAGCAGCAAATAGAGGCTTGTTAAGACATACCGCAAGATCATCTGGGTTTCGTTCCAAGTCTATCAGTCCTATCAGGTTACCAGAGTTTCCATGAAACAATCGAACAACTTGGTCGGGGCAACTGCACAAAAAATGTTCTCCATCACTAAGAAGTTTACATTCCTCGATAGTAGGGCGAAAGTGTGGGTTTGACAGTAGTTTGTGCATGGTAATTCCCGTAGTTGCATTCAAAATGTGCAAACCGTCAGCTTCGTCAAGTGAATTCCATGTTACAACAAAATCTCCATCATTTGAGATAATCGCACAAGGATGACGGAATACGCGAGGGGTAAGGATATTCCTCTTCCACAAACGCTCTTTCTTATTCCAAACTGCTATCGTAATAATAGTCTCTCTTACAGACCGAGGTTCTTCTTTGGTACAGGCTACGAATTGAAACTTAAGATTACAAGAAAGTGAAGTAATGTTTCCCTCCATTGTCGTTGTCGCAACAATTCCACCTATTGTGATGCTTAAAACGTCCACTTTGGAGCTGTTATTCTCGCAAGGTCTTTGACATCCTACTAGTTCGTCGGTTACAGGAAACAAACTAACCAACGTATCAATTTCCGTGAACGATCGAATACATCGTGATAATTCAAAATCCCACAACTCAAGTAAGTTGTTGGGCGTGTTCTTCATTAGAAGCACTCCTTCCCTAACGGGCAAGAGGTATAACGGTGATTGAAACTGACGAACAGTTTTCTTCTCCTTGTTGCAGACATGCACCGTTGAAAAAAAACGGTCGTTTAGTCTTCTTTCCCTGTAAGCATAGAGATATCTTCCATCCACAGAAAGTTTTCCTCTTAATTGGTAACGACCTATTTCTCTTTCACAGCAATCATAGCCAGGGCAATCTTCAAATTGATCATGATGAATCATAAACATTTCTTTATTAAAAGGGCTACAAACTACTACAGATTGGTTGCTAACCGCTGAGAGGAAACCTTTCTTGAACGACGGAATTACCTCTGATATCATTGTGTAACATTGGTGTCTAGATTCTGAGAACAGGAATTTACTTTCATCGAGGGATCTACACTCCCATGGCCACCAGAAAATGTCTTCAACGTCTTGAAAGCAGATCGCAGTTACTGGACACTCAATGGAATCTTCGCTAAAGGAAGGGACTTTACAACTGTAGCAATCAAGTTCGAGGCTGGCATTATCACCTGCAAATCCAAATAAAATCTCCCGATTATCAGGGGAAAAATGCATCAACGAACACACGCGGGGACATGCAATGTCACAAATAAACTGAATGCTTATGTTACTCAGCTTGTACAAGCTAACATTGTCTGATTTATCTGAGATTGCCACCAATGTTCCATCAAAAGAAAATGCAAAAGACGTCATGTTCTTCGTGCATTCAAAACGAGTAATCTCCACCCCGTCTGACATACTCCATAAAACAACATCCCTTGGATTTTCAGGGCAATCTGTTAACATTTTAGACCTATCTCCGCAAAATGCACATACGTTGAACATGCAATCACTTTCGGGAAAGAGAGGTTGTAAATCTCCATTTATGGTAAAAACGTCTCTTAAACTTCCAGGTATGACATAATCACCGTCCGCGTGAAATACAACAGATCGGTAAAATGACATTGATGACACCAATGCCAAGCCAAAGTCATTGACAACTGAGTCGGTCACATTTCGAACGGCACAGTCCATGGCATATATCGGAATGCCGAATGACTTTTCTGTGAATGCATAACGCAACCAGAGTCGATCGCCACTTTGAAGTGACCATAGTTGAACACTCCTGTCGACGCACTCACAAACCATGTAATCCATTTCTGGAGAAATGTCAAAACAAGCTACCACACTACCACATTCAAATCGCGCTTTAATTCCCACTTTTCCGTAACTACCCTCTTTGTTCACGATTTCGATGTAAGGTATCCTTGGATACTTTTCCTTTAACACACGGTTGGCCATTGAGGATAGTTGCGTTCCTCCTTCGTTAAGTATTGTTTGAAATAATTGCTGCGGATGTTGACAAAGCCTAGATTTGTATTTTCTCATGACAGAAATGGCAGAGGTCACAGCAAATTGAAAAGGAGAAGGCAGAACGTCAAAGGATTCTAGTTCTTTTATACTCAAGATATCTTGAAATCCTGAATCACTTCCGATAAAAAGCTTTGCATACAAAAGTTCTAGATCTGTCACATAATTTTCGACAAGTTCTTCAAGTTTTTCGGGAATTTCATGGTCTCTCAACGCATCCAATAGGTGCTGCACACCATACTGTAAGGCATATTTCTCGGTGTCACTGAACTCTCCACCATAAATCCCTTTGCGTTTCAAGTTATTGAGCTCAGTTTCACAAAGCTTTGAAAGGATCTGACTGCCTTCATCTCTATCCACAGTAAACCCATGCCGTCCGTGAGTGCTTCTGTCTGTAAGCCAGTCTTTGACAGACTTGTGAAACGTGTGAACGCGTTCGTCAATAACTGGTAGAAGGGTAGAGATACAGGAAATAACCTTAATTATCTTCCGGTGTGAGGAAATTGCGCGAAATTGAAACACCTTAGAGATAAATCCAAGTGGCAAAGGTTCTTTTGCAGTCATGACAACAGATAGAAAACTTAAAAATTTGTCTTCGTCGATTTCCAATTCGTTAGAAAACTCTCTCTCCAAGCGTTTAAAATAAGACTGGTAAACAGAAGAGATACCTAATGGCAAGGCACTGTCCAGTTGGTTGAGAGTTAGTAGAGAAACGTTTTTCTGAATAAAGTCTACCAAAAAGTAAGCATACAAAATGACACCGTCAGACTTCTCAACCAGAGCATTTAGAATAGTTTCTTGATCATTGATTGGAATAACGCGGTCCAGCTGCTTCTCCAAGAACAGTCGAATGTCCCTTTTGTTTTCACCATCATTCGTTTCCAGATACAGAGGCTGTAAGCCGCCGAGTTTATTGGAAATGTTTACTTCCGGTCTCGTGGTCACAAGAAAGCGAATCCATTGTGGAAGCTTGATGAAATGGTCAGCTATCACATCCAACAATTCATTGCGCCCCTTGTACTCACTCTCATCCAAAGCGTCCAACACCAAGAGAAGGTTTCTACCAGGATCAGTGATTTTTCTGAGCGGCTCCTTGAAAAGTAATGCAAAAAGTTCCTCCACTCCCATGCTGTTGATTTCTACGCCCAAATTTCTTGACAGTTGTTCCAGTAGAGCCTCTTTGTATTCTGGTAGTGCACGACACAGGTGACTGGCCAAGGATTGAAGCAACAACTGAGGATTTCGATAGCGCACGTTGTTGTGTTGACAGAAGTGGCTCCCTGACAGTCTACCGGCTTCTTGCATCCTCTTGCAAATGACCGCTGAGATAACAGACTTTCCCATACCTGCATTTCCGCTGATTACCATCACACGGTTTGGGGAATTGCTGTCATCAAGCCAACCCTCGATTTTTCGAAAGATCCACTCGCGAGTTCCTTCCTGGAATCTTGACACGTAAAACTCGATGTCTCCTTCGAACTCGGACTTTGCTAGGACGTTCAGAATTTCTTCTCTTCTGTTAGCCTGTCCTCTTTGGTTTAAATCCTCAAAACTCTTTTTAACTTCTAATACGTCTTCTTGTATTTTGGTTTGAGTGTGACATACTCCATGCAGCTCCGACTTCATTTCTTGCAGTATCTTAGCATTCTGAGTTTGGTTTTGATGTACAATATCTATACTTTGACTTATTTCTTTTAGATGTGCTTTAAGATCCTGCTCACTATCAGCCCACTCAAACAACATTTGAAGATAATCTTTCTCTCCACTGTGCTCAGCCTCTAGTCTATCTACGTCTGCTTGATTCAATCCAAGAGTCACAAGAACGCTACTTATTTCTTGCCAAAGCTGGGAGAACGTTGCTGAGTCGACTTCAGTGGTGGATACATGGCCATACAACTCATTTCGAAAGAACTTTACACGAGCAAGGTTAGCCTCTAGAGAAGTGTCACTTAAGGGTGGTTTTTTGTGCCAACCTGACGGGGGAGGGGAAAGCCCACAAATTTCCGTCAGAAGAAGAAAAAGAAGAGTAATGTCAAAATTGTTTGAATCCGGTGAGCTCCCACTGGGTGGAAACAGTTTGTCCCATTGAGCCTTACGTAAAATTCGTTTCTTCAGAAGATTACATAGTTTCGAATGATTGGCTTTCGCTTTGAGATTCGCCGCCAGGTTTGCTGGAGAATGATGCCTGTCAAAAATGCTTTTTAAAACTGTGGTTCCACCATCGATAAGAAGTCTGCTGAGCTTGGCTCCATTTGTCTTCTCTATGGAGCTAGCCAGGGGTGAGGTTACTGAAGCCGCCATTTTAGCTCAAAATTGATGGGCTCAGTCCTCAAAATCTACCTGCAAAGAGAAGAAAAAAACTTGAAGCGTTGTCATGAATCTTCAAGTGATACCTAAAACCACTAAAAAAGGTGATGGAGGTCCTCTCAGAAAATAATAAGCAGTTTTATAAATATAATATTTCATCAGTGCGCCGGACACAGGCTGTACGTGTTGGCTCCTCCCTGTACTTATTTGAAGATTCCCCCTCCCCCCAATTCCCAGTAAACAGGCCAGACCACATCACAGTAATCTCGTGAGGGGGTTCTCTAACGTCCCCTGCCTATCCAAATTAACTAATTACTAGATCAAGGAGACGGGACCTACGGTTTATTCGTCCTTATCCGAGAAGACTAGAATGTCTATCCATTTCTTGATATTATAGAAAGGTAGCGCATTCTCGTCAGTTATTTTAAGACCTTGAGTGTTGGTCCGGCCGGGGTCTCGAACCATCGACCTCGACCTTCCGCACACCAGTCCAGCGCTCTAACCAGTTGAGCTAACCGGGAGGCGGTTGGCTCAATTGGCTAGCTCAAATGATGTAGGTATTACAATCTATCTATCAATTGGAACCTAAAACACCATATGCAGGTGTATGTAACATTAAAGTAATGTTAAGAAACACAAATGTTAAATAAAGTTTCTGTCTAGAAGATGTTTCGTTAAGGATAGTAGTACAAAAAACCATTTGCCAAAAAGTCCAATTTCAGGACTAAACAGTCTTGAGAATAGCAGAAGAAAATGGGGAGGATTCCACAGGTTTGTCATAAGACTTATCAAAACATCTCGATGATGACCACCCAGCAGTTTTCAGGATTTCTTGGATTGGAACAGAGGCTGTTTTAGCCTTTGAAGTAGCTGCTGCTCGTGTACTGTGTGGCTTAAATATTGTTGTATCTACCCCAGCAAAGGTCATGACAGTGAGAATCCACCTAGAAAGAGTCTCTCTGGACACCTGTTTATATGGCTTAGTAAAACTGACAAAAAGTTTAGTTTCCATACCCCTGAGAGGCTTTTTTCTCTTAAGATATTCTTTTAAGCAAGTACAAACACAAAGGGACGGATTGGCTGGGTATGCTCTCAAAACAACTGTAGGTGCTTTGTAGCCTGGCCTGCTCTGCTTAATATGGGCAGTAAGCAGGAACTCGTAGCCATCAGGAAGTTCTTTCATACAGTCTGGTCCAATATCAAGGATGTGAAGACTCTGTCCTCTTTGTGCAGACACCAGAGCTATCAACATAATCAGCTTGTGGGTCAACGTTTTGAGGTCAAGCCCATCCACAGGGCTTTTGGAAGCCAGATAATTTAACGCTGGTTGAACGTCCCAAGTCGAGTGGTACCGCGGAACGGGTGGTGAGCCTTTTTTATACCTTTCATAAGTCTAGAAACAAGTGGGTGGCAACCAATAGTATTCTGGTCTTCAGAAAGGGTAATTGGTGATATGGCACTACGAGCAGTGTTAATGGTAGTGTAGCTCAAGCCCTTCTCATGGAGGCTGACCAAGAAATCCAATACTGATGTTAAAGGTGGGTTATAGGGATCAGCCTGTCGTTCACAGCAAAAGTCAATCCACTGCTTGATGTACAGTTTATATTATTCTGCGTCCCACCTGACCATGACTGCACGATGATTGTTGCAGCCTTCTCTGATATGTTGCGGTGCTGGAGGCTTTTTCCGAGACCTTGCAAGCTGTCAACTTTAGCTGCTTGCGAAGAGGGTGTAGAGCATTGTTGTGAGGTTGTGTCAAGAGATAGTCCAGCTGAGGCAGCAACACTGGGTTGTCTATTAAAAGGTGAAGGAGCGTTGTAAACCAAGGTTGTGTCTGCCAGAAAGGGACTAAGATTACACCAGTAGCTTGATCCTGTTCTATTTTTTGCAGACAAGTTGCTATCAGGCTGAAAGGTGGAAAAGCAGAAGAATAATGTTCTTTCCATCGCATTAATAATGCATTTACACATTTTGCATTAGGGTCTGGTTTCCAAGACATACGTAGGTATTTAAAAATTAAGTCGGGAAGTAAAAAGATCTATTTCAAAAGGGCCCCACATTTCATTAATGTGATCAAACAAATCTGGATGTAGAGACCATTCAGTGGAGGTGTGGAATACTCTAGATTCCGAGTCAGCTACTACATTGATGGAGCCTGGTATGTGGTAGGGCACTGAGCCAAAGTTCCCTTTCAATACACAACAGCCAAATTTTCCGGGCCATGTTGTTGCAATTTGCAGATTGGATACCCCCCATTGCATTGATATAAGCTACTGTAGTAGTGTTATCAGATTGAAGCCTAATGTGCTTCTGTCTCACGTGATGACACAGAGACTTGAGACCTCACCAAACTGCTTTTAGCTCCAGGTAGTTAATATGAAACCCTTGCTCCTCCAAACTCCAAGGGCCACCAGTTTTCTGTTCCCCATACACTTCCCCCCAGCGCTTAGTTGAGGCATCTGTTGTCAGAGTCATGTCAGGGTTAGGCTGAACAATCTTCTTAAAAGAAGAGTCCACATTATTTATCCACCAAGACAAATCTACTTTGGCATCCTTAGAAAAATATAATGGCCCATCATAATTACCCTTGTTAGCCTGCAGTGCAAGGACCTTATTCTTTTCTAGATTCCTGTAATACAATTCTCCAAATTGCACTGCAGGTAGACTTGAGACTATCAACCCAATGAAGTGGGCAGTTTCTCTGACGGTCACCTTAGTTTTGAGTAGTAAATTCTGACAGGCCATGCGTACGCGTGCAGCTTTTGTAGGGGGAAGTCTAAATGTCATAAGAATACTGCTAAGTAAAAACCCAAGAAATTCTATTTCTTGTGTGGGAATTATAACTGATTTCACAGGGTGAACTACGAATCCCAGGTTTTGGAATGTGTCAATCGTGTCCTGGACATTCCTCTTACAAGCAGCGTGGTCATATCCTAATAAGAAAGAGTCATCTATGTGCTCCATGCAAAGATGGCCCATTGATCTGATATGAGAGTGAACTGGTTTTAAAATTTTTGTGAACAGCCTGGGGGCACAAGCGAGGCCATTGGCTAGGCATGTGTATTCATAATAACTCCCTTGCCACTCAAATTTTAAATATTTCGTGTCCTCTCTAGCAACAGGGACAGAATAGTATGCGTCCTTTAGGTCAACTGAAGCCATAAAGCACCCCGGACGCATGAGTTTAAGAGCTGTTTGAGTAGTGTCCATTTTGAAATGGTAGTATGAGACAAATTCATTAAGAGGTTTGAGATTTAAAATCATTCTGTAGCTGCCATCTTTTTTAGGCCGCACAAATATAGTTGAGAGGAAGTCCCCCTCTACATATTCAGTTTGTTCCCAAACTCCTTTACGGAGAAGTGTAGATATTTCTTCACTTATTATCTCCCTTTCACCAGGTGAGAAGTGGATTTGTTTTGGTGGGTGAGGTTGGACGGGGGTATTAGCTTCAAACTATATATGGTAGTGCTTTATGGCATCAAGTATGACTTGGTCATTTGTCAAAGATTCCCAGGAGCCAACATGGTCCTTCAGCTGTCCTGCTGAAAAAATACGGACCATTTGATGTAAATAATCCCCATCCATAAATGATTTAGGATGTTTCCTCACCTGGTTATCGTTTAATATTTGTTGTTGGATTGGCTGGGTTTTTTCGGGGCACTCTTGTGTCCCCGGCTGTACCCTAAAAAGGGGCGTGTCTGAGATGTTTTCTGGCCAGTAGATGTCCGGTGGTATGGTTTGAAAGTTGAGCGTCGAGATTTCTGCCTCACAGCCTTTAGATAGTTATGGCTGGATTTGCGGGTGTCAGAGGTCCTCTGCATCTGCTGGCCCGCCTTTTTTGCGTCTGCCATATCCATTAGATGTTTTGACAATTCATCCCCAAATAGCTTTGTAGAGGGCTTGATGTCCTCTTTGCATAACCTTGTGAAAGGGGGGTTGAAGTCGGGCTTGATTAGCTCTCGTCGTTTCATATTAAGTTTATAATTGTCATTAGTCACAAAAGCAATGCTGTCCATGACCTGGTCCAGGACCTGACGGACGTTAGTGGGTTTGCCAGTTTGAAGGTCTTTTACCAACTGGTTCCCCCGAAATCGACAGGAATGATAAACCCTGAACAGGCAATTCTTGCACCTTCTGAAAAGCAAGGTCAACTGTTCTGCTCCTCCTGGGAAGCAGATCCCAAACCTCCTCTTTAATTGTTGTAGTACACAAGAACTTAAAGTTTTCTGGTGGACTGTATTTATCAACTCTTTCCTTCACCGTTTCTGGTGAAAGAACTCCAGAAGCCATATTATCAATTAGACTGGCAACCTTCTCTGTTATGGTAGGAGATTTATCGTTGGTCTTTAAAAATGCCTGAGTCAGACTTTCGAGGACATCATTCTGCTTTTCTAAGTCAGAGCTAGCAGATTCTTTCACCACGCAAGAGTCGCTCGGGTCGAGCACATTATTTAACGTGGCAGTAATATTTAGTTGTCTATTGCTCATGTTTGAGTCTTCCTTTTCTGCCTCCTCGTCTGATTCAGGACGAAGGAGGATGTCGTCTTTAATGATGATAATGATAAAAGATTTATACCGCGCCAGTATCCTACTGTTCAAAGGCGCTTACAGAAAACTTTAACATTAACACTTAAGACAGCTAATATTAATTATAAAAGGCTTTTCTAAAAAGAAAAGTTTTTAATCTACTTTTAAAAACAGACACAGACTGAGCATTTCTAATTTCACTTGGCAAAGCATTCCATAATGATGGTGCTGCTACAGAGAAGGATCTTGCGCCATATGTTTTCAGGTTATAGGATGGAGAAACCAGAAGGTGCTTGGATGATGAGCGTAGTTGACGCGATGGGGTGTAAGATGTGAGCAAATCACAAATGTACGACGGTGCCAAGTTGTTAAGTGCCTTGTAGGTTATAAGTAAAATCTTAAAAATAATACGTTGATTGACGGGAAGCCAATGAAGATTGAAAAGAACAGGCGTAATGTGATCATGCTTTTTTGTAAGTGTGACGAGGCGCGCCGCGGCATTCTGGACGTGTTGTAGCTTTTTTATAGTGTAGGCTGGTAGAGCGTCGCTGTCTGCTTTTCTGAAACTTTGGTCAATTGTGCCAAAGTATCGTTAAGTCCTCTGAGGATCGCCGCCATGGTGTTCTGTGGAGATTGGTCTACAGCATCGTTCGAGCACTGAATATCGCGTTCTAAACCTGGTGTAGTCATTCTAGGTGTTTTCTACCCAGTGATCTTATTGCAGACCCGATATTAAGAAACTTGAAGGTAAAAATGGAAGATTTTCTTCGCATAAGTAGTCACCGTGCTAAACTGATTTCCGCGCGAAAAGCACTGGTTATGCGCATGCGTCTAGCTATCTCATGGGATCCCTGGGGCAGTGATGACGAGATAGAATTAATGCTATTGAATTTATATATAGATTTTTTAAGATGAAATCAAAACCCTCTTCATAAGGAGAAAAACTTTTTTGTCTGAACTTGAAGTTAGCCTCAAGTCGATGCTCTTAAAATGTGTTTTTAAATCATCTTTTAGTAAGGTTAACAATACGTGTTTCCTCGTGAATAAGAATTTATCTTCTCAAGTTGATAATATCTCCCACTTGAAGATAAAATTTGTATCCATGCCTCCGACACCAAATATGAACTAGATACATGTGTGCTTAATATTGACGAGGGAGGAGATATGAAAATGGCTGCCACACAAAATACACAAGATTCCTTGAAACAAAGAGAATAAAAGCATTAATAGGGACAATTTGACGGATTGAGGTAACTGAAATCTCTGTACAGCTGTGCATTTCCAGTCCTTTGCCTCATTGTTATGTGTAATTGGATTGACATTCTGTTAGAGCAGTGATTAGTAGCATATTAGTAATATTTATTGGTGAACATATCAGAACAGGCCATGAAGACTGAGAAGTAGAGTGCACAGGTTCATGTAACAAATTTGACAAATTTAAATCGAACAAACTATTATTTGAGCTAATATAAGAAAAAGGAGAACCTTATATTTTAGGTGTATATAAATAATAATAATAAAAAGAAGACTAGAAAAATTAAGTTGTTGTGATATGGCAAATTATTCCCACAAGCATTTTAAAGTAACTTTTAACTAGTTCAGACAAACCAAACAAATCCTCTCATCTATTGCTGCACGATCAATACTACTTGAACGTTTAGTTCCCCATATGTGGCCAATATTATCGATAAAGAAATTCAAGAGGTTCACATAGGAACAAACCCTCAGTTAGCATGTTCTTAAAAACGTAGGATTTTTTCCCAAAGAAATTATTGACCAACATGTAATTTCCGCCTAAAGTGAAAAATATCAACCTGGACTCAGAGGTTTCAATTTGACCACCTATGTTGTAATAGGGGACGTAGTGCAGTTTCCCCGTGAACACAACAATTTTAGAAGCACTTACTTTTCAAAAATTTAAGTTCTTACAATGACAAATAGACGATGTCCCTGTACTTCCGAATTTTAAAACTATCGTTCTCAATTAAGTCCTTGTCATCTAAGATAAAATAATTAGGGTCCTTAACACTAGAATAATAAAAAAATTTGCTCTGTACGAACTAAAAAATTAGAATTTAGAGTTAATGCTAGCGCATTAGAAATATTCGTTAAACTTTGAAGCTATGGCTGCCCGCTTTTAATTTGCCTGCAGGGACAGAGAACCATAATTATCTCAATGGTCAAATTATTTACCTTAAGGGGTAAAGGCTTTGACTACACGACTGATTTCATTACCGCAAGAAGAACTGTGAATAATTTCATTCGACGATCGAAGAAAACAAAACGAATGTTTCGCCAAATTTGTCACGGCCTAGAATGGTGAGGATGATTGCATGATTATGTTGAGATGTACATTGTAATAATAGTAGACTCAGTGCACTAATCCTTGCTGTGATTTATTACTTATCACAAAAAAAGCGAGAGTCGCTTCACAAATGATGTCTCAAAAGAAAGCCAGCTTTAAAGATAACTGTGATCTCTCAGTATTGTTTACATCTTTGAGTTGGAATGGGCTTTTGTTGCAAATTCTAATGAAATCCTCGGCCCCATGCTTAAAATCGCTCGCTGAGCCAAAACCACTTTCACATATTATTTGATAGTCTCAAGCTGATCAATCTATAGAACAACTCAAAAGGGACAAGCTGTGTCAAAACACAACAGATTTATTGCCTTCTCGCATGAGAGACGCGGCGTGTGGGGCATATGTAAATGCGAAGCGATGTTAACATTTATTTGAACAACACTTCTGCTAGCTACCAATTAAGGCCCAGTTCAGACTCCGCTCTTCAGCCGAGCGGAATCGAATTCATCTCTATGCCGACCTAACTTAGTTAATCCTGGCTGAATTGAATCAGAAACCGAACTTATTTCGGCCGAAATTAATTAATTGAAGAAAATTTGTGGCCGGGTCGGCGCAGTAAGTAAAAAATTCGATAAGTGTTAATATAAAGAACGAAAGTTATTTGTACGGCATCGACGTTGAAAGGAAGTTTTAAGGTTTCAAAAATAGTATCTCCCGCAAAAATTACTACTTTAACAAGGTTTAAGAAATGAGAGGAGGCCAAAATCCTTGGTAATATACTCGTTTGTAATCTTTAAATGTATTTTTGTGACATGAAAGGGGGCACGTTGTTACCACAGGGTGAAAATAGTCGATTTCGCAAAATAGTAACTCTTCCCAAATTACTACTTTGCGAAATGAACAAAATCCTTAATATTAATTAACGATTACTCCAAAATCCCCGTGAAAGCTATCTTTACCTTAGTAAAAAAAAATATCGGCATCATCCCTTTAGTTTCGTTAGATCTAGCATAGTTTCGTTTCGTTTCGTTTCGCAAAATAGTATAAGCCCAATAAATGTTCAATCTTTGTCGAAAACAAAGATTTCCATGCTGGTAAAAGCGTTGCTTTTGCGAACCATACACAAAAGAGGCGAGAAAGGACGTTTCTGACGCAGAGTACAACTACATAATGCCAAAGAACCGACAGTCAGCGAAGAATCAAAGTCAGTTCGAAACGCATAGAATTGGGCGCCCATTCAAAATCTGTCAGCATTGTTTTGTTCGGCCCCTCAAGACCTTCAAGCCACCGTTTTTCTCAGTTCTGCAACACTCCTTTGAACTTGCTTACATGTAAAAACGGCAAGGAAAATACATTAAAATATTATATGCATTTGATTCGGCTCATGTGAAGCATGGCGTCTGAATCAAAGCCGGTCTACAGTCGTTCTTCCTGGCTGAGTCAGGCGGGATTAACTGACCCAGCCGATCTAAATTCAATCAGCCGTTCGGAACTGATTTAGACGCCGTACTTCACATGGACTTAATTCGTTGAATTTGGTTCGGTTCGGCTGAAGTACGGCGTCTGAACCGAGTCTTAGGCGTCAAAAACCTCGCAATTTTAACTCGTCGTGAACACAAAAAGGAAAGGACGAGAGAAAGAAAGTAAAAACCACTCGGCGAGAATTAACCAAAAGGACGCGCTCGGAAATCAGTGTCTTTGAAGAAGCTAGAATTGCCTAATCAAAGGCAAAATTACAATTTGAGAAAATATCGATCTCTCAGAAACAGTGAAAATCAGTCGTACCTTCACGATACTCTTTCCAGTGCACTCAACTGCTTCAACTATTTCTCATGACTTCTGGCCGGTATGTGGTTCTTACATAACCTGCGAATGGGTACAACAGTTCAAATCCGTTGTGAAGAGCATTGTTAAAGGCGTGTGAAGCATTTTTCATTACCATAATTTGATCCAGCTAAATTGAACAGAAATGATTGACAGGTCCATTTCACGCTGAGAGACTAACACCTGGGCATCTTCAGATGACCTTGAGTTTATATTTGGAACAAACATTCCATGTTGGAAAAAGCATATCATGTATTTCGATAAATGCCCATGGTGAGACAATCAAATAGCTCTTTCTAAGGATGACTCCAAATAAATTTTCTTCATAAATAATTTAGTCATCCATCGAAAAAGGAATTTCGATTCAAAAAGTTAGTGAGTCCAGTTTGGATTATATTAGTCTTATAAAAAATACTTGTAACAGGCTTGATAAACTCCCCGTGCATCATTACAGATTATTTTGCTGGGGGTGTGAAATATTGTAGGCAATGTTAGCAAATCAGTGAAACAATAGCGATACAGTCAATTCTCTCTAAGCGGACACCTCTCTAAGGCGGACACATCTTTAAGGCGGAAAGAAATTTATTCCCTGCCGAATTTCACTTGTTTCTCTATAACTGAACTCTCTCTAAGGCGGACAGTGATCTCTCTATGGCGGACAGCGGACACTTTTTTCCAACATGTTGGTTCAAAAAACCTCTCAAAGCCGACACTGGATGTTTTGGAAATTTTATAACAGGTCCAAAATTTCGAAAAATTAGCACAATCTGATACCAGTGGTTTTGATATTACAGTAATGTATGTCTTAATACAATATTAAAGTCACTTTTCCCGTCATTTACGTATACAACAACTCATTTGCGCTGCCCTTTACTAGAATCTATTATTATCTTTGTTCGCCGGAAGACGTTTTGCAGTTTATCTGCATCAATCTTCTCAGTCTCTGACCGTCAGTTGTCTGTTGTACGATGGGTTTAAAATATTGAAAACCAGACACGCCTTACTCTTAATTTGCATTTTAATGACTGACTTCAGCTTAATTTTACGCCAATGCATACCAAAGAGAAACAAAATGGTCAGTCTTGTGTTAACCGCAAGACAACAAAAGTATGTCTTTTCTCAGTATGGTGTTATCTTTATAATTAGCTGGGGGTAAGTGAGGGTTGGGTAAAGATTGGGGCAAAGAGATACATGAGGCAAGCACACCAGAGAAAAACAATGGCCAATTTCTCTTGTTTTCCGCTGGGGCTTACTAAAGGAGGGAAGTTTGTGTTTCAAAATTGGCTGGGCTCATAATTGGAGGGAAATTTGTATCTAAATTTTTCAATGTGCAACTGGTAATATTAGGATTTTGGCTAGAAATTTGTAACAAACTAACAACACTGAAAACACCAAGTTCAAACACAACGGCAATAAACTTTATAAGAAAGGAAATACAGTAAAAATGGTAACGTCTACGGACCGAAGGAATTCAAGGCGCGAGTGAAGAGCGAACTGCGTAAAAGACAATAAACTTCACCACTTGTTGATCACATTGCTTTAGTACACGAAATCGTTCTTTTATGGCTAAAAAATCTTCCTGATAATGATGATTATGTGTAGTTTGCTTTGGTTTGAATAACAGAGGATAATTTCCAAATACAAGTCCCCGGGGGCTTATATTCGGAGGGGCTTACTTTTGGAGGTATTTTTGCGTTTCAGATTTGAGGGGCTCCTATACGGAGGGGCTTATACACAGAAAGGCTTATTTTCGGAATTTTATGGTATGTTGTCATCTTTACCTGATGAGGGAGGGAGGGGTGGGGGGCAGGGGAAAACTGGTGTTAAGAGAAGAATGAACAGAAGGCCGTGTAAAAACGAATTCAAACGAATCGGACTTTGATTTAAAGACCGCTGTTCACATCGGCCACGAGTCACAACTGTTACCATAGTACGTCAAGGAAGGTAAAAGGATACCAAGTAAGTTGTATATAAGACTCCTTCTTTTTAAGCCACACCGAAAGAAAAAATGGCTCGATTATAGTCACTCTAGATCATTATAGTCCCTGGAATATTTTTTTCTATCATCTACCAACATTCTCCATGGGAATGTTCAGGCAACAACATTGCAAGACATTTTCAAGTTAGAATGAATTCGGAAGACAGTCATACTTCAAGTGTGAATGAGGAGTTAAGGTTACGAACAAAAGAACAAATCATTTTCACTAATTCATGCATGTAACGGTCTTCAAGCCATTTACTTAGCACTACAACATAAAAGCAAAATGAAGCCCCACTTGCACATGCATTCTCACTCTTGTGTCCCTTGAGATGTTTGACTTTTTCAGCTCAAACTGTGGCGTTGACATCATTGGCAGCCGTAGGTGACGGTTTGCAAAACAAAAATGAAAAAAAAGAAAAGCGCGAGCCGAGGAAACGTATCCAGTCTCGAATGATGGATTCTTAAGATGAAGACGACGTCGGACTGAGGAGCAAAGTCCAGCGGCGCCAGTGATATTCTTAATTATTCTTACATCACCATTTATTATCAGAAGTTAAACTTCTCCATAAAGGCTGATAGTTTCGAAAGAAACTGTTTGGGGCTGCGTCGGTGGGAGTAACGAAATAATTTGGATTTATCAACAAAGTTGAAATGGTAACTTGGCCACCGTAACGATTACAAAAGCTGACGTTTCGAGCGTTAGCCCTTCGTCGGAGCAAATAGAGGAATTGTGGGTTGTGTGTGCTTTTAAAGGCAGAAAATGGAGCTACGTTATTGGTGGGAACATGGCAACGTTGCCATGTTCCCACCAATAACGTAACTCCATTTTCTCCATGGCAACAATGAGTATCGTTCCTTTGTACCTTGTGAGTTTTCTAGACTAAGTTAGCGCGCTTTACCTTGGCTTTAGTTCATCTCCTTTTCTTTCTATAAAGGATGATATCGTGGAAAATCAAATAATTATTTCAATGTTATGCACTTGATGTAAACAAGATAAAGTTGGTCACCCACACTACACAGCGTTAAGCGAACGTTAAGGCTTAACGAGATTTTTACAAAGCTTCAACAGATAAGCTTTTCATCAATCTTTGTCTGTTGGTTCTGTCCTCGTGTACCGATTCACAAGAGCCAATACAAAAGACCAAACAATACACAATAGCTAACAATAACTCCTAAACAAAGAAAGAACGATGGTAATTCCCTTGTGAACCGGTACACCAGGACAGAACCTTGTCTGTTACACTGGAATGTCTCGGTCTAATTCAAATTAGTTCATTCAAATGAGTTAGTCGATTATGTGCCCTAGACCCTTGTGAATTTCTGTGACATTAATATTTGTCAGCAAAATTTAAAGAATCGAATTACATTGGCTTAGAAGGATAATTTCGTTCCCTCCGTCTTTGATGCTGCGAGGAATGCATCTTTCACTAATTTGTCCTGTGATCAACAACAGTCCACAAAGAACAAATTTTTCTTATCTTTATTTATTCAAACCAATAAACCGAATCGCAGTTTTGATTTAGAGGGTGCGAAGGCAAAAAGCAGATAATTCGCAGCTTAAGCCGTCGACACTGGCAGACATAGGCTCCTCGCACATACTATGGCTGATAAATTGAAAAATAATATTTGCTTGGCACAAACAACAGCTACTTGAAAACAGACACATTCAATTGCTTCAATCTTTGAATTTTGTCATGCAATTTAATCTTGGTATATAATGAAGTAACCGCAAGATCCGACAAATTAACTTCACAGTTTCGTGGGTTTGCAAGACGGATTGATATACATGCAGTTTGATTTTCTCATCCTTGTTCAGCGAGAGTGACATTGCAAGGTCCATGTTAATGGATAGACCCGAAGAAAGAGATTACCAACTCAACCAGAACAGGTTTAAAATACGTCATAAAGCAAGATGCATGTAGAACTCAAGCCATCCCACTTCATTCCAAAGAAATCTATCTGCAATGGTTTCCCGTTTCTAATAACGTTGTGTTTAACGAAATGTACTTCTAATGTGATATGCTCAACTAATTCCCCAGCTCTGAGGCGATTCGCCCAATAACCTCAAAAGCAAAACAAATCTGCTCCTACGTACATTTGATAATTCGCTGCTGTTGTTAGTTATCGATCATAGAAAAACTTGGAAAGTTCCACACACGAGAAAGCTACGAAGTTGTGATAACTCCAAAGTAAATTCCGTTTCCTAGTTTCTAACTTTCACCACCAACCTGCTCTTTCTTCTGATCATTACGGAAGGTTGTAGGTTCGCTTTTTCACTGTTCCGACTACACACCCTAGCACCGAAACTTTGATCCAGTCTCTTCGTCATATTTCTTTTGCTGTCGATAGTTGGCCTAGGTGGGGGTGAGAGGGGGCGAGAACTGATTCATGGATTTTTTTGTTCCGCCTAAATTACCTTGTGGTTCTTATCTGATTAAAACGCTTCATTTTGAAAACTTATTCTGATCTATTAGATGCCCCTCTGTGAAATGTCGCAAAAATTGACTTCCACTACAGAACTGCAGATTAAAATGATCATAACATTTTAAGTAATTTCGTCAGTGAGCCGAAGATAAGGTGTTCTGTAAAAATTTCCCCTAACATACGAAGTAATTGATAATCAAAGTAAAGCTGTCTCGCTTTCTTTCCATTTTGTTTCGCTGCTGATTTTTGGCCGAGAATTGCTTCTCCCTCTCCCCTCCCTACTTACCTCGCTGGCTCAGTCCCTCGCGTGCAGATTGGAGACGCCTGGCGAAAATTGTGCTTTTGTCTTTGCAGCACGATGCCAGTTGATTACAGAAGAATTACAGGACCTGAAGTCACCCAGCCAGTCGTTTTTACTGGAAAAAAAGCATTAGATAAACCTCTGGTACGAAAGGAACAGAATCCTCCTCTTTTTTCAGCTTTTACTGTGTTCGTTCGTTGAGTGATTTTGTTTTTAACCTCAGATCGGTGGTGATTGTTTACGAAGAGATGGCCGGAAAACAGACGAACTTCGACCGATCTGTAAGTTGGCGTAATAAGTTCTAGCAACAGATGAATGAGAATGCTTCATAGAAAATAATTTAAGGCAGTCATTAGCAGTCAAGGCATTAGATACTGAAAACTTAAAACAGAGGTTTCGTCCCCTAAAAGGTCGCTGCGAGTAAACAGTTGACGATCGTTGGTTTATAACAATTATTATAATAATTGTACCAAAATAATTCATATATGTTAAGTTCTTATGAAAAAGAAGTTCGTAATTGTAATTGAAATTATCCAATTATGATGACTAATGATTATTACTTA